CGAGCGGGTCATCCGAAACGTGTAACTGTCGTCACTTTTGGGCTCCTGAGGCCTGAATATGGAGGAAGTATCAAGCGGGAACCTCGTCTGAGAGTGAATTGCAATGAAGTCTCCGGCGGGAGCCCCCTCCCTATGGGGCCCGCACTTCATGTTGGTAATCCGAGCGGGTCATCCGAAACGTGTAACTGTCGTCACTTTTGGGCTCCTGAGGCCTGAATATGGAGGAAGTATCAGGCGGGAACCTCGTCTGTGAGTGAATTGCGAGGAAGTCTCAAGCGGGAACCCCCTCCCTATGGGGCCCGCACTTCATGTTGGTAATCCGAGCGGGTCATCCGAAACGTGTAACTGTCGTCACTTTTGGGCTCTGGAGGCCTGAATGTGGAGGAAGAATTAGGCGGGAACCTCGTTTGTGAGCGAATTGCGAGGAAGTCTCAGGCGGGAGCCCCCTCCCTATGGGGCCCGCGTTTCATGTTACTAATCCGAGGCGGGTCATCCTGAAACGTGTAACTGTCGTCACTTTTGGGCTCCTGAGGCTTGAATATGGAAGAAGTATCGAGCGGGAGCCTTGTCTGCGAGTGAATTGTGAGGAAGTCTCAGGCGGGAGCCCCCTCCGTATGGGGCCCGCAGATCATGTTACGAATCCGAGCGGGTCATCCTGAAACCTGTAACTGTCGTCACTTTTGGGCTCCTGAGGCTTGAATATGAAGGAAGTCTCAAGCGGGAGCCTCGTCTGTGAGTGAATTGCGAGGAAATCTCAAGCGGCAGCCCCTTCCCGATGGGGCCCGCGCATCATGTTCGAATCCGAGGCGGGTCATCGGATTATACTAACTGTCGTCACTTGGAGGTCCGAGGACGGATGTTGGGACCGATTTTGAGGATCGAAGGGGAACTCGCTCCTGCGGCCTGACAACCGGGGAGTTACCAAGCGGGAGCTTCGTCTGTGAGCGAAGTGCGGGTAGCCCCGTCTGAACTGGTCGCGGGCAAAATTGTTGTTGTCATGGGCCTGCGGCCTGCGTGCCCGAAAGGGCGATTGAGAAGTGCGGGTAGCATCGTCTGAGCTGGTCGTCGGCAAAGTTGTCGTAGTCATGTGCCTGCGTGCCCGAAAGGGCGACTGAGGAGCTGACGATGACAACGACGAGACAGCGGCCGGGCGCAGGGGTAGCCCCTTGCGTCCTGGCCGGGGGTGGTAACCCATCCTCGGCCGAATCGGGGGCAGGGGTAACCCCTTGTCTCCGGGCCGCCGGTGGTAACCCATCGGCGGCCGAATCGGGCGCAGGGGGGGCCCTTGCGTCCGGGCCGGGGGTGGTAACCCATCCTCGGCCGAATCGGGGGCCGGGGCAACCCCTGCCCGGACGGCGAGGGCGAGAGGACAACGCAGGCGCTCCGGACGGCGAGGGCGAGAGCGCAGGCGGCCTGGGCGGCGACCCCGCTGCGGCCAGTTTTGCCAGCAGCGTGTACTCAACGCCCAGCGCGTACATCGCCGCCCTGGTCGCTGGGTTGCCGGAGAACGAGAGACTCACGCGGGACCAGACGCTCTTCGTCGCCAAATTCGCCAAGGCCTGCGACGACGCCCGGGAGGACGACGTGCAGAAGAAACCCTGGAGCGAGAGAAAAGTGACGCACTTGCTCCTGCTGGGCCAGGGCGGCTCGGGGAAGACGCACGTGGTGCAGAAGATCGTCTTCCCAGTGGTGGAGTATTTGTGGCCCTCGTCGGCGCAGGACAAAGGCGCCATGATGGTCGTGGCATTCTCGAACGCGCAGGCGAAGAACATCTCCACGGAGACTGTGAAGGCTAGAACGCTGCACAACGCCTGTGCCGTGCGAGTCCAGAAGTACATCAACGCGAAGATGAGGCCGGGGGGCATGCAGAAGCAGCTGAAGTGGTTGTGGGAGCACGTCCGCGTATTTGCCATCGAGGAGGTGAGCATGGTGGCGGCTGCTCTGTACAACGCGCTGGACCTTCGCGCTTGCCACGGACGCAGTGACACGCATGACGTGCAGGAGTCCACGTACAAGAAGCCACATCACCACTTCGGGCGCGTCCCCATCGTGCTGCACCTCGGCGATTTCCTGCAGCTGAAGCCCACCGGCAGCATCGGCCTCCTAGCGGACCCCAACGACCTCCTGGAAGACGATTCGTACAAGTACAAGGAGCCGCCGACGTTGGAGATTCAGCACGCCATCAACGTTTTCAAACACATCCCCTGCGTCTTCGAGCTGAAAGGCACGAAGCGCTTCGAGCCAGGGGACCCTCTGATCACGTTCTTGGGCTGCATGCGCGAGGGCAAGCGCTTCCCACCAGAGGTCTGGTCTGCCTGGGAGAAAACATTGGCCTCGGACAACCACGGCGTCCTGGACCCTCGGCACCAGCACGAGAACTTTCGGCTCGGCTACGGCATGGGCATCTACTGGGAGACGCTGGCGGGGTGGATCAACACGCGCGCCCGTCGCGACGCGCGGCGCCTCGGCGTCCCCCTAGTTTTCCTGCAGGCCGTAGACGAGTGCGGCACGATTCAAGGCGACCCAGACGCAGGCCGGCGCCTCCTGAACGTTCCGAACATGCACAAGACCGGGGACATCCAGTGCGTCTTACAGGCACGCGTCGTCATGGAGGTCCGGTTCACGGCCGTGCAGGAGGAGCTGAGGAAGAAATTGGGGCTCGTGCAGGACCAACGGGCCACCATCGTGTCCTTCGAGTTTCACGCAGACGACGAACGGGACTACGAGGAGTGCGCGCCGGGCCAGCTCTTCCGCCCCCGCTACCTACCGCAGGGAATCTGGCTGCAGGTGCACGGCTTCCAGGAGCCCCCGAGCTACAGGGAGGTCGCCGAGGTGCTGCAGCAGCGCGCCGATGGCGCTGGCGACGACGGCGAGGCCGAGGCGCGGGCGAGGAGCTTGCTCATGTTCAGGCCCAGCGAGCAGGAGCTCACGTGGCAGAGCTCGGGGGCGCACACTGTGCGCCGCTCGGGGTTCGCCCTGACGCATGCGTCCTACCTGACCTCCACGCTGTCGCAGGGCCAGACGCTGCGCAAGGGCGTCACCATCGACTGCGCCAGGGATGCGGACGCTGGCCGCACGGGCATGTCGGACGAGATGTGGTGGCTGCACCTCTACGTCATGTTCTCCCGCGCCACGTGCATGCGGAACATGCTGATCCTGCGGCCGCCCGCGCGAGAGTTCCTGGAGCGCGGGCCGCCGGCGTCCCTGCGGAAGGCGCTACAGGAGTTTGACAAGAGAGCGGTGGGCTCCAGGGCTGAGGCGGAGCAGCTCGCGGCAGAGCTGGGCTTCGTGCTGCCACCCGCCTGAGCGCCGCGGCGCGCACCTGGAGGCCCGCGGGGTTGTCCCAACGGCTGGCTCCCGCGCCCCTGCGGCCTGCGAGGTTGTCCCAACGGCCTGGCCCGAAGGGTTGCCCCGACGGCTTCGCGATCTAGCCGTCGGCAAACGCGCGCGTGCTGGCCGACGCGGCGACGGCGCCGAGGAAAATCGAGTTGCTTGCCACGACCAGGGGGAACGGGAGGTGCACATGGAGAAGAGGCAGGAGGATGAGGAGGGAAGGGGCATGGGGGAGGGCGACGACGAGGAGGAGGTGGCGCGAGAGGAGGGAGGAGGAGGAGGAGGAGGAGGAGGAGGAGGAGGAGGAGGAGGAGGAGGAGAAGGAGGAAGAGAAATAGAAGGAGGAATAGAGGGCAGTGCAGAGGGCGAGAGGAGAGGGTGTCCGCCAGGGGGAGGAGGAAAGGGCAAAGGGTAAGCTAAACAGATTCTCATGCGGGGTCCTACCGTCGGAGTAATTTATTATTCCTCGCCTTCCCTCCTCCTCCCTCCTCCTCCTCCTCCTCCTCCTCCTCCTCCTCCTCCGCCCCCCTCCCCCCCCTCCCCCCCCCCCTCCCTCCTCCCTCCCTCCTCCCTCCTCCCTCCTCCCTCTCCCTCCTCCCTCCTCCCTCCTCCCTCCCTCCCCATCCTCCCTCCTCCCTCCTCCCTCCTCCCTCCTCCCTCCTCCTCCTCCCTCCTCCACCTCCTCCTCCTCCTCCTGCTCCTCCTCCTCCCTCCTCGTCCTCCTCCTCCTCCCTCTTCCTCCTCCTCCCCCTTTTCCTTTTCCTTTTTCCTCCTCCTCCTCATCCTCCTCATTATTATTATGATTATTATTGTTATTCCCCTTCTTATTCTTCTTAGTATTAGAATTGATAATATTATTACTATTCCTCCTTCTCCTCCTCCTCCTCCTTCTCCTCCTCCTCCTCCTCCTGCTCCTGCTCCTCCTCCTCCTCCTCCTCCTCCTCCTA